CACACAAAATAAATAAATAAATAAATAATTAAAAAAATAATAATAATAAAATAAAATCAGAGACAAGACACCCTCAATATTTGGATGTAATTTCCCCTCAAACGTTCATGTGTTGGAAGTTTATTCTTCAGTGTGCAGTGCTGAGGTGGTAGAGTTTTTAAGAGGGTAGGGAGGGCTAGAGGGCATGAGGAGGCCGTCAGGAAGCCTGTCTGCAGAATCCTCTCTGGCTTCCTGTCTGGCCAAGTCGTCTTCCTTTGCCCTGATTCTATGATGACACAGCCAAGAGGTCCTCACCAGTGGGTGACAAACACTTGCCACCAAATCTTGGACTGTCAGCCTCTAAAACAATGAGCTTAATAAATCTGTTTTCTTTATAAAGTACTTAGTGTTAGGTGTTTTGCTCCTTCCTTCTTTCCTTTTTTTTCTTTCTTTTTTTTTTTTGAGACATAGTCTCCTAAACTGCCTTCCGTAGCCCAGGCTGACCGTGGGCTCATGACCACTCTTCTGCCTCTGATTCATGAGCCCTGGAATTACAGGTGTGCACCACATGCTTGGCTAGTGGGTCAGGTGTTTTGTTTTAGCAACACACAGAGAACTCAAATGCATTCCCTAACCCTCCTAATTTTCAGAATCCTTATTCAAACAATTCTGTATACCTTTTCATACTACCATATCACACTGCCATTTAGGCTCACCCTTCACTATTCCTCAACGCTCGGTAGGAGCCTCTATTACAGTACTTATCACCCTACTCTGTAATTATTTAGGTCTCTCACCTTCACCATAGCAGTTACCTAAAAGCACAAATTGTAATAACTTCCTACTATCCCTGTTCCTTAGCAAATAAGAAGAATATAAAGAGTATCTTATAAAAAAAACAAAACAAAACATTAGTTTTAAAGGTCTTTCTGGTTATATTGTTTTAAAAAAAATGTTTTGTTCTCTCCCTACTGGTACTGCCGGTCTCTTAAGAGAATCCTTCTGGGCTGGAGAGATGGCTCAGTGGTCTAAAGCACCTACTTGAAACAAGCTTGGCAAAGCACAAGGACCGGGGTTCAATCCTCCAGCACCACATGCCAGCCAGCCCCGCCCCCTGGTGGGCTGAGCTGGCCACACACACACACACAATAAATAAATGTAATAAATAAAAATAAATAAATTAAAAAAAAGAAAAGAGAATCCTTCTGTTCTTGTTCTCCACAGAATCTTCCAATGGCTTCCTTAGCTCAACCCGTGGTTTACATGACAATGCGCAACCTTGCCCAGCTGCACTTCCTCACTGCACTCCTGTCACCCTAGCCTCTGCCATCCCCCTAACATGCTAAGCACTTCTTCTTCATCTACTCATTTTTCACATATGCTATTCTTATTGGATTTTTTTTGGTGTGTGGGGGGCTGGCTTAGGATGCCTTAAGGGCAGGTCTGGTAAGGCACAAGGATCTGGGGATCGAACCACAGAACCCTGAGCCTTATGCTGTTCCTATTGTATCACACCTTTTTACTTTTTTTTTTTCTTTTCTTTTTTGTGGTACCAGGGAATGCACTGACAGTCTTCAAAAGGGGTGCATACTCAGCCCTTTTCTCTATTTTGACATAGGAATCTTTTAAGTTGTTAAGTTGCCTGGGCTGGGCTTGAACTTGCAATCCTCCTGCCTCAGCTTCCCAGAATGCTGGCATTACAGGCACGTACCACAGTGCCCTGCTCCTTTTCATTCCTCTGAGCACTAAATAAAGTGGCAGTCCTCATACTTGTCCTGCTGAATCCCCTATATTTCTACACTTAATCTTAGCCAAAGAGAAGCAATGTATCCCCCATATTTTTGTTTAATTGTTCTTGAAAACATTTATCACCAGACTATATATTTATTATGTTCTGTCTCCCTTAACTACAAATAAAAGCTCCATTAAGGCAGGACTTTGTTGCACTGATTAAATATGGGCATCCAGAATAGGGTCTGGGACTCAATAAGTATTTGTCAAGAATGAATAAAACTTAACTTCTAGCTTATTAGTATGAGACCTCATTTTTCTTGTTTTCTTATTTTATTTTTTAATGTTTATTTTTATTAGTATATGCTTGCAGTACATAATGATTACATCCTTCCTAAGGAGTTGACACACATACATAATACATCTTAATTCTTTCTACACCTCTTCAGAGAACTCCTTAAGTGTCCAGTATTAGTCTCTTATGTGTCGCTAAGAGCTAATTTAAAAGAACAGACTATGTAGATCTTGGTAGAGAAAGAGCACTAAAAGATGCTATTCAGTAAGGACAAGAGGAAAAGGAAAAAGGTAAACTAAGTAGTGCTGAAAAATTCTACTTCTCTTTGTCACCCTACTATGCACTTATTTTTATTTTTGTGTGTGGTACCAGGGATTGAACTCAGGACCTTTACTTGCCAGGCAGTGTGCTTGCCAAGCAGGAGCTTATGCTACTGAGCTGTGTCCCCAGCCCAACCTTATTGTGCATTTATAGGAGACAAAGCTAAGCAACAATTATTTTCAAAAGTTACAAAATTTGAACTGACGCAAGATTTAAAAAAAAAAAAAAAAAAAAAAGATGAACAGCCCTCACCTGCCGCAAAGAGGTTCAGGTTGGGATGGGCAGCCAGGACCCAGAAACGGTCATGGTCCCTGCGGAAGGTCTGAACTCCAGTCCTAGGAAATAAAAGCATTAATTTCCTAGAGATCTTCTGGGAACAAAAATATTGAAGGGTAAGCCTGAAAACTGATTTTAAAAAGCAAATCAAGGAAAATCAACTGCATAGTATAATTTAAGGTATATATCATGATATAAATTCTACCAAGGAACAGAGAAGCTTTAAATTGATCCCATTATCATTCTGGTTTTTCTTTTTCTTTTTGGAAACAGGGTCTTGCTACACAGTTTGGGCTGGTCATGTGCTCACTTTTGTAGTCCCCAGGTTGGTCTCTCACTCACAGCGATTCCCTTCTCTCAACTTTCTGAGTGCTGGGATCACATGTGTGTACCACCATGCCCAGTTTATCCTATTATTTTGAAATTTTAATTTCTCTCTATTTGCCATAATTTTATACTGTTCTGCTTTCATTCTATATTTCTTCTATAGCTATGTGACTAGGGGAACGGAGAAAGAGAGAAAGAATACACAGTGTTTGGGCTTGTGCCTAGCTGTCCCCTCAAGGCCTCACTGGGTCATAAACAGAGGGGTTTTTTTCAGAGGTGGCTGGATTTGGATTGTGTGATGCTGGGATTAGGAGTGTATGACTACTAAATCAGTCCACTGACTGCTTTGGCCTGGCACCTGCTCTAAGCAGGTTGAATATAAAGGGGCAGAAAGAAGCTGTTTGGACTTGTGGCTTGCTGCTCCTGCGTGCCCGTCTGTCTGCTGTGGACTGTTTCTCCTCAGTGATGTCCTCTGCCAACCAGCCCACCTTAGAGCCGCCAACTACAGACCGACACCTCTGTCACTGTGAGCCAAATACACCTCTTCTTTAAATGCGGCTGTCAGGTATTTTTGTCTGAGCAATGAGAAAAAGTCACCAAGACACACAGAGATTTCTATTTGATAGAAAATTAATACACATTGGATGCTTTTTCTATATAATGACATTTACTATAAGAAATAAAAAGAAGTATTCTAATCTTATTTTTAAAAAGAGAGTAAGAGAGAAAGGGGTTTCCCCCAGGGTTTGACCACACAACATCGAGAACTCCCTTACCGCTTAGACATATCCCAGACCCGAATGCTCTTGTCTTCAGAATTGCTGAGGATCAACTCTTGGCGAGGGTGGAAGACAGCACAAGACACATTGTTGTAATGGCCCCGGCAAGTGTCAACCTCCCATGCCTTTGATTCTGAAGGACAAAAAGAATTAAGTCATCACAAGTCCCTACTACTCTAACTTTTGGATTTGGGTTTCACATTCTCTAAATTGTGTTAGATACTATTACAAAATACTAAATCAGCAACTGTGTCTAACAGAGCAATTATTTTCTCTCTCGTTTCGTTTCCTTTCCCAATGAACTATACACTCAGCCTCATGAAAGACAATTTTATTTATCTAAATCTCTCTCAATCACAAACTCCCCCTGCCCCTTCATGTGTGGTACTGGGGATTGAATCCAAAGCCCTTGCACTGAGCTACATCCCCAGCCTGTTTTATTTATTTTTTAATTTAATTGTTGTTTTGAGTCAGGGTCTCACTGTGCATTCCAGGCTGGCCTTGAACTTGCTATGTACCTCTGGCTAGACTCAAATTTATACCTTCTGCCTCAGCCTCATTAGTGCTGGGATTACAAGGTGGTACCACCACATCTGGTCAGGTTTCTTAATCTTTACATGTCTCTGTTCTCTCATTCTGATCCTTATATCAATTATTATCCCTTACTCTTTCTGAAGTGGCACTTCAGAAAAAATGTAAACTACTTACAACAGAGGCTTTATCTGTTTTGGTCAGCACCGGGTCTACAGTGTTCTACAAGTAGTCAAGTAAATGGGTCAATTCTTACTCTTAACTATGTTCCTATTACTCAAGAAAAGGAAACCATCAAAGAAAAAAAGGGGTAATTTCTGTGTTCACAGAGATAGCATAAAATAATCACCTACAGTATAAAAATAGGTGCAAAGTCCAGCAAATCTGGCTACTTTCTCTTGCTGGCTGTGTTAGCTGATACACTGTGTCAACTTGGCTGAATTAGCACCAAGCAGATCTCAGTATGGGGGCCTAACCGTGCAGGTGGGCAGGGCCCAGGAACTGAGAAAGGCTTCCTGTGGCCCTGCCTGGTTTCCTGCCACCCTGCCCCGCCCGTGGAAAAGTCTGTCTTTGGAGGAGCTTGATCTCGGCAACCGTGCCACTTTGGAGGAGCTCCGTGTGGAGCCCAGTCAGCTCAGAAGGAAGAGAGAGGCTTGATGAACGCCGCAGCTGCTGCTCCTCTTTTGCTCTTCATTGTTTTCTGCCGCATGAACTGCTGCCATTTGCCTTGGAGCCAGCGGAATATGGCCTGAACACTCCAGTAACTGAGAGCTAAATAAACCTTTCCTTCCTTCATTTTGAGTGTTGGGTATTTGTCCCAGCAACGAGTAAAAAGTAACTAAGACACTGGCTAAACATCAATTTCTTAGACATGGTGATGTTACCACTGGGTCACTCACCATTCATGCGCCAGATCTTCACTTGACGGTCATCTGCCCCAGATACAATAAGGGGCATTGTAGGGTGGAAGGCAGCCCAGTTCACACCACGATCATGACCCTGTTTAAAAATAAAACAAATGGTTCTTCTAAAACTCTTTATAATCACTATTTAAAGGAAATACATGAATCAGCTGGTGGTTATGAAAAATGTTTCTAATACTCTTTGTATACATACAAACACTCAGGACTACGCTACTGTAAAGTTTTGTACATTAGAATTGCCATGTCAGTCTATCCAATTACTTTGAAATTCTTTTGCTTGAACTCAGGCCCTTGCACTTGCCAGACAAGGGCTTGTTCTACTGAGCCATCTCCCTGGCTCCTACTTTCAAATTCTCATGGCAATTCATAGATATTTCTACCTCCTTATTCATCTTCACTTGCACTTGGTTAGGTTGGTCTGCCCAGTTTGTGACTTGTCTGCTTTTATCTTCTTTTTCTAGCTAGCTATTAATATCTCAAAAAAAAAAATCTTTTTTTTTTTTTTTTTTTTAGTACAGGGAATTGAACTCAGGCCCTTGAGCTTGCCAGGGAAGTGCTTATTCCACTGAGCCATCTCCCTGGCCCCCAAAAAACCTATTCAATAACAATGCAGAGTTCTCAAAGTGTGGTCTGGAAACTCTTGGAAGATCACTGAGATCCTTTAAGGAAGTCTGTGAGATCTCAACTATATTCATCAGCCTGGGCTACGAAGTGAAACCTTGTCTCAAAAAGATAAAAATCAAACAAACAAACCCATACACAAAGCCAAAACCAAAAAAGCTATTTTCATAACAATACCAGCATTTTATTTGCTTTCTCATTCTTCTTATCTGTTGAGTGTACAGGGGAGTTTTCCAACGCTACTCGAAGGCTGACAATGTCATTATTCTGATGGCTAATGGAATAGGTGCTGAAATAGTTGAGATTTTTAGGCTAGGGGCACAGCTCAGTGACATCTATACAGCATGTGCCGGCATACACAAGGCTCAGCACCAAAATAATAATAATAACAATAACAATAATAATAATAGTTTGTTTCAATGTCAAATATAGTTAAAATTAACCCACATAAACAAAACCTCTTTGATGTCCTCAATAAATTTTAAGGGTATAAAGAGATCTTGAGACCTCCAAGAGCTGATTTTAAGATATCACTCCCTCACAGGATGCTGTGAAAAGAGCAACCACTATTCCCCGGTTAGGGATGAAAACGCTGAGGCTCACAGCCTCAGAGGTCACCGAGCACTTAGTGAACAAACAGGGATGTGGACACGACCTCTGGCCTTTGGCAGGAGCCCGAGGTCTTGATGGATGTAATCACACAGCCCTGTAAGCTGCCTCCACCTCTGATGGGCTGCGACTTCCGGGGAGCATTTCATTCCCTCAGGACCACAGAACTGCTACTAGTCATCGTCTGAGACCTTACTTCAGGCAGAGAAGAAAACACCTTCTTTTGCCTCAGTCATGCTTGCTACGCCACAAGCAGCCCAAACTGGCTGGTACAGCTGCCTCGTACCCCAATAAGGGTACCAGTCTGTGCTCAGTAAATGCTTTGGGAGGTCTTTAAAACAACAGAACCCTGCAAGCCACTTGGTAGTTCTTAACTCTCTAGTAGCCACAATAAAAAATTAATTATATATTTTATATAAAGCAATATATCCAACATATTGGATACTCCATTAGCAGTGAAGTAGGTAATTTTTTTTTTTTTTTTTTTTTTTTTCCCAGAACCGGGGATAGAACTCAGGCCCTTGCGCTTGGCAGCGAAGTGCTTATTCCACGGAGCCATCTCCCTGGCCCCGGTAATTTTTTTTAAAAAGACACTCTATAACCTATTTGTGTAGCTGTACTTTAACCTATGGCAAATCATGAATAAGATCGTTTTTATTTAGAAGTGTTTTTGAGGTATCATGGTGTGATTGGGAGCATCTCGGTTCTAGAGTCAAACAGACCAAGCTGAAAAAAATCTTAGTTTTCCCAATTACTAGATATATGTAGGTTTGGCTAGACTGTTTCATTTCCCTAAATTCTGATTTTTTTTCAGCTGTAAAATGAAGTTAACAATATACAGGGCCTGGGGCCAGGGAGATGGCTCAGTGGAATAAGTACTTCCTTGACAAGCACAAGGGCCTGAGTTCAATCACCAGTTCCACCAAAACAAAACAACAACAAAAAACACCCCCCACCCAAAAAAAAAAATATACAGGGCCAGCCAGACAGTTTAGTGGACTAAAGCACCTGTTCAGGCAGAGTGCAGGGACTGGGGTTCAATCCCTGGCATGCTGTGCCAGCCCTGCCTCTGGGGCACACTGCGAAGGCAACTGAGACTGGGCGTGGTGGGGCACGCCTGTAATCCCAGTGCTTGGGAGACTGAAAACAAGAATCACTAGGAGTCCAATCTGTGTAGTGAGACCCTGTAGAACCTGTACTAAACACATTAAAAATAAAAATTAAAAAAAATGAAGTTAACTATATTTCAGTGGACAGCTGTGAGATTAAAGTCGATATTTTGCTTTTATAAAAAAAAACCCTAGTACTGGACTCTTTTAGAATATTTTGCTGAGTTTACACACCTACAATATTCAATAACGGAACTTAGAAAAAATGGGGTATGCCTATGAATGTCCATTTTGTATCTGTGTATTCAAAGTGGTTGGGATAGATATATAGTTGCATTCTCTTAATGAATAGAATGATTTGTTCTAATGGTGTTTGTAAATAGGATCACAAGTCTGCATCTTGTACAGCAATTAACCACTAAGAATATATGCAGTGTAAGTTATTGAAACTGTACTTCCGATTTGATTTGAAACTGTCTCATTGCTATCTGTTTATCAATAAAACTTTGAAAAAAAAATTAAGTTTCTTAAGAGCAAAAAAAAAAAAAAAACCCTACTTTTGGGGCCGGGAAGATAGCTCAGTAGAATAAGTGCTTGCCTGGCAAGCGCAAGGGTCTGAGTTCAATCCCTGGTTCTGCAAAAAAAAAAAAAAAAAAAAAAACACCAAAAGCCTAGTTTCTTACTGTTATGTTTTCTATTTTCCCACTACGAATAAATTACTCACATAAGGTTGGCTTAGGGTACTCAGATAGGGGCTGGGGAGATGGCTCAGTGGAATAAGCACGTCCCTGGCAAGCTCAAGGGCCTGAGTTCGATCCCTGGTTCCACCAAAAAAAAAAAAAAAAATGGTACTCAGATAAACTTTCTTTCTGCTGCCTCTTTATAGGAGGGTTGAGAACAGGCTCTGCTGGGGGATGGTGATGGAGTCTATGCCCAGCTTTCTTCCTTCTTCACAACAGATTTGTAAGATGGCAGGATATTTCCCCAGGTGACATGTAAGTTTCATTTCTTTGCTGGCTCATTTACAATTCTATTCCCTGTGCCTCAAACAGTGCCTGGTACCTAATAATTTTTTTTTTTTTTTTGAATGAGCAGAATATATTTATTGAGGGAAAGAAAGCTCCTCTCCAAGAGAGGGACAAGAGGGGGGCCTGAGTGGGTTGTTCTCCAGGAAATATTTTTTTAAAAAAATGAAAAAACTCTTGGGCATGTGGCGCACACTTGTAATCCCAGTACCCGGGGAAGCTGAAACAGGAGAATCTCTGTCAGCCTGGATCCACAGTGAGTTTAAGGCCAGCCTGAACTACATGGTGAGACCTTGTCTCAAAAAATGATAAAAAAAAAAAAAAAAGAATAAAATGAATTGCATTTTGTGACTCCCTAGAGGATAATCCACACTCAGCCACTGGCCATAGAGATAAGTACCTCTAGCACATGCTTCACCACAGCATCCGTAGTTCCAAACAGATCAACCCCGGTTATTCCTCTCACATCTGACTCCACTGCACCAGGGGACAAGTTTTTTTTCCTTAGGCCTTTGAAGGAATAAGAAGTGGGATGGAAGATGCAAACATGTTATCAAAAAGCACAATACCAGGTTCATGGACAGACTGACATCAAAGAAGGGAAAAAGAAATTTTAGAGACTGAAGAAAGAAAAGAGATTCAAGAGCTCCTATGTATTTAGAGAATTGGTCAAAATTCAAAAATAGATTCACTGTCTTCTCTTGTTTCCTCAACACTTACCAAACCCCCTACTGGGATTTCTTTCTGGAGGTGGCCAACCAATACTTCTGAGACAGCTAACTTCCTCAACAAATCTCACCTTAAGAGCTGTCTATTTCAGGTACTGCTCATCCTCAATTCTTCAATATTCTTAAAATGTTGCCTTAAATGGTAAAAATGCAGTTTCCATTTTCAACTTTATGAAATCTGCAATTAATCTCAGAAATTTTTTTTAAAAAGCCATGTGGGAGGTCACACCTCAGTGTTTCTCAAACTGGAGGCTCTGAGGCAACTTATGTTGACGCTCCAGACAGGTCACAGAAACAAGTTAGCCCTCTTTATGACAAAACAGCTCTTTGGTCTGGAAAATAATATAGAATTCTATAAAAGAGAACTATACAAAAAGTGTATCATACCACCTACCTGACACTTTAGCAGGCCACAGGACAATTAACACTGTCATATCCTTTTAAGTTCTTGCTTAAAAGGCTTGGTTATGGACCTTAACAGTAAAACCTCTGTTTGCTGTCCTCACCGAGAGACATAGCCCAAAATGTGAAATCAACAGCCCAATGTAGAAGACCCACATTTATGGCTCATCTACACCCATCTTTTAAAAGTTGCCTATTTATGCTACAGTCAGAACAAAAGTTGTGATAACAATACCACTACATTTGAGAAGCAGTTGGCAGTTTTCAATGTAGTCCAATAATGTTACATGTCCAGATTCCAATAACAACCCCTTAAGATAGACAAGCAGATAAAACTACACGAGCTTATAGATAAGAAAACAGTTGCGGTTAAAATCGCATCCTTTGAAGCAGAGGAAGGGTTGGGAAATGCAATTACCTAGCATTTATAAAATAAATGAGAACAGAATAGAGGAAAAAAACCCATCATTAAAAATAAAATCTAAGGGGCTGGTGAGATGGCTCAGTGGTCTAAAGCACCTACTTAGAACAAGCTTAGCAAAGCACAGGGACCATGGTTCAATCCCCCAGCACCACATGCCAGCCAGCCCCGCCCCCTGGTGGGCTGAGCTGGACACACACACACACACACACACACACACACCAAACAAACAAACAAATAAATACAATTAAAAAAATAAAAATAAAAAATAAAATAAAATCTAAGGGGCCAAGGCGGTGGCTCAGTAGAATAAGTGCTTTGATTTCAATCCCCAGTTCTGCAAAATAAATAAATAAATAAATAAATAAATAAATAAATAAAATTAAATCTAAGTAATTTCAAACCAAAGTTTGGCATCTGTAGGAAACTGAAAACTTAAATTCAATGACTACATATACTCTCCTCTGTTCATCATTAGAGAAGCAAGAACTTAAATGGCCATGACAGTTTTAATTATCATTTCCTCTTCCAAGAAGAACATTTACCCAACAGGTAAAAAGACATAAAGTTGATGTTTTTTTAAATGCAAGGTTTCATAAATACATTATCGCAAGGATGCCTTCTTTCACTTATTTCACTTTTCCCTTTAATAGGATCTGTCAACTTTTTCTAATGAGCCTGGTGTATGAAACAGATTCAAAGAAAGATACAAAGACAGCTGTGAGGAACTTCACCTCCAATAAGCTTCAACAAACACATTAGAAGGAAAGCTGTATGACAGAATGGAAGCCTTTGTTGTACTTGCGTGTAATGATCCAGGAAAAGGGGAAGGGTAAAAAGACAGATGAATAGTGACAGGCAGTGAAAAGATACTTAGAGAAGAAACATTTGAGGCTTCAACAAGCCATTCGCTGGACTGCACGACAGATGGAAAATTTCTGCAGCAGCTACCCAAATCCAGAGGGAGAAGAGAACACTCTCAGAATGGACCAGTTTATGCATGCCTCCCAGTGGGAGCCAGGGGGAGCAGTAAAGAGAGGGATGAAGATACAAGTTGGCAGCATATTAATACTTTTTAGTAGTCATTTCAAAGGTTGAGCCTGTATTACATGGGCTTGACATGCAAAGATGAAGCTTGTTAAAAGAATTTGTCAGTTTGCTTAGAAGCTAAGCTTAAAAAAGTAGCCTATCTTTACATCTACATTGTAAATATACTCCCTTTTAAAAACAAATAGATTTTCCACTCTAATGCAAAGACTCAGGTTATGCTAAGCCCCAAGGGGCTCAATCCTCGTTGGAGAAATATCAAGAAATGGCTTTTCCTTCAATAGTTCTCCATTCTCTTAGTGCTTACCTACCAGCTCAGTGCCCCTTTCTAAAACAGATAGCTAAAATGATCAGGATGTTCACCACTCCTTTCATATTTAAAAGTGTTCAGCCTTAGAACTAACTTTTTTCTCTTGGAAATACCAACTCTGGTCCCTAACAGATCCAAAAGCTAACTCTATTCCTATGTTTAGACTTATTTAAACCAAAGCCAAAAGAACTCTGATAAAAAGCTTGCCTATTTTTAAAAAAGGAAAGAATAAGTGGAACAGTCTTATCCAAGAGCTCCTTGCATTGGTTAAATGCCAAAGCATCTCTTTTCTGGTTAAGGGATTATTTGAAGTCAAAAGAGGTGAAGATAGAGGAAAAACACTCAGAACAACAAAGAAAGCAATATTAGTACAGCACAATAGCAAAAAACTCTATCACACATACAAGGTATAGCAATTACAGTATTATTATATAGTAATCCATGCAATTCACACATTCAAGAGCATATATAAACCCTACTGAGGTTACTTTTCCCTCTCTCCTCTGATCTAGGACCTTCATTTTGATTCAAAATGTTTTTTGTCCACAAAAGGTAAAGAGAAGTATTTCTTGCCGTGGGCATTTAATGATCACCATTGAGAATCCAACCATCTGACTGCTCCAAATTGCTTTAGCTAGACCACAGGGAACGCGCTGTGCTAGCATCAGGTGGCACAAACAGTACTGTTAGAGTGGAGCAGCATAAGCCAAGCCCCTTCTCAACCCAGTGTTCTGGGAAAGAATTAAACCTTAATGCCTAAGGCCAGCAGTTTAGGTACATAACAAAGTAATTTCTTTATGATCTAGGATGGTATTAGCCACATACTATTCCCAGAAGCACTGGGAACATCATTACGGAAATTATTTTTGGTAGTGCTTATTTTCTCACGAATTTGGGTTGGAAGAGACTATTCTAAACAACTGTTCCTCATCAGCTAGAACAGCATAAAGTAGAATTTAACCCCATCAGATTCCTATATCCTGAGACAGAGAGGGAGCTCTGAACGCATGCACAGTGAAAACCCATGGAGAGCCATGGTTAGGTTACTGGATGAGCGCCAAGCTCCCTGGAAGAGTACTGGCAGTGAGGAGAGGGCTCAGGCGCACAGTGCCGTGTGCCCAGCTCTTCCTGTTGGCATGGCTGGTCACATCTGGGTGTACTTCAAAAAGCCCAGTCAGTCTGACGAAAAACTGCAATGGCAAACAAAGCCCTAGAGGAAGGGGACAATTGCCCTCTCTCCAATATAATCTTGTTTACAGCACTCCCTTCTAATTCTAAGCCTCTGAAAACTGTAAAGCTTGCATGACCTACAGGTTTTGTTCTCCAACTGTGTCCCTCTTCTTTTGGCTTGCTTCTATGCTATGCAAATCTTAAATAACTGGTCTTGTAACATTCCAAATATTATATCCAGTAACAAAATTTTCTCTTGCATTTCATTAATGGTTTGTAAAAATAGCAAATACTACATTGTTTAAGCCCATGCCCTGGGGAAGTTGGATAACTCATCACCTGAGCCTTCTAAGGCAAAAGGGCGACTCCTTTGTTGCTACAAAGAACCAGGCAAAGACCCACAAAGAAGTCTTCTGTTTATAGGACAAAACACTACTTTGTCCTTCAGTCTCTGACTTTTCAGAGAACTCAATCTCTAAGAATTTTGAAGGCAACAAAGAGACAATAGAGCAAATAATAAGAAAATGTAACTGGGCAGAGACACACAGCATTTGAGTCTCATTGCCTATTCCAACAACAATTTCTTCCATTTATCTCCAGGAAATAGAGATTATTTTAGTCCTTTCCCTGCATTAAAATTGTCTAGCTCTCAGTTTATTACACCTCTTCTATATAGCACTAGACATTTAAATCCTTTCTCAAAGTCAAAATATAAAAATGATTCAAGAAGGAATTATCTCAATGATCTAAAATCTGTAAATAAGGCCTAGTGTGGTGGCACACGCCTGTGATCCCAGCACTTGAGAGGCTGAGGCAGAGCATCACTGAGTCCAAGGTCAACGTAGGCTATGTAGTGAGTTCAAGGCAATCTGAACTACATAGTGAGAGCCTGTCTCAAAAAACCAACCCTCTCAAACCAGAACACTATAAATTATTTCATTTCTTGTCCTAGACGTCTGCCTATTAAAAGCTACTCTGCACATAAAAGTCATCAATTCACTTCTACCCCATGTTCCTACACTAAAAAAAAATCTGGGACTACAGAAGGATTTCTAAGGTGACAAGACGAACAAAACTCTCTTGGGGCTGGGAGATTGCTCAGTAGAATAAGCGCTTGACTGGCAAGCACAAGGGCCTGAGTTTAATCTCCAGTTCCACAAAAGAAAAAAAAAAAAGACCAACAGTCCTGTTTCCTTGCAGTAATCTATTTTCAAATTTTCTTTATTTTAGGGAAGGGCCTATCTACAGGGTGTTCAGGGTCTCACTACTAGATCAGACTCATAGTGATTCTCCCGTTGACAGCTTTCCAAGTGCTGGGATTACTGGCATGCACCACCACGCCCAGTCTCAATCCTCACCTCAGCATACCCTGGGGGCGGGGCAAGCATGGCAGGCCTGGGGATTGAACCCCTGGCCCCTGAGCCTGCTTGCAGGCGCTTTAATCCACTGAGCTATTTGGCTGGCCCTAAAGGTGCATTCTTGAGTGAAAATTTTCTTAATTCCTTTTTTCTTTTCTTTTCTTTTCTTTTCTTTTCTTTTCTTTTCTTTTCTTTTCTTTTCTTAGGCAGGGTATCACTATGTAGTTCAGGCTGGCCAGGACTTACTATTCATCTAGCCTAGCCTAGAATCTGTGGCGATCCTCCTACCTCAGCCTCCTGAGTGCTGGGATTACAGGTGAGAGTCACCATACGTGGCTTGGAAAGCTTAATTCTTAAATCAAATTCCCTAAAGGTATACACAGAGATTTTCAATAGGTCCTACTTTTAAAAACAAATTTTATTTATGTGTGTGTGGGTGTTGCTAGCTCAGCCCACCAAGGGCGGGGCTGGCTGGCATGTGGTGCTGGGGATTGAACCGTGGTCCCTGTGCTTTGCTAAGCTTGTTCTAAGTAGGTGCTTTAGACCACTGAGCCATCTCACCAGCCCATATACAGGGATTTTAATGACTAAAAATGACAGGGAATGGGGAGATGGCTCAGTGGAATAAGCATTTCACTGGCAAGCACAAGGGCCTGAGTTCAATCCCCAATTCTGCAAAAACAAACAAACAAACAAAGACAAAAATTAAATTTATTCAAATCAAATTTCTAGAGTAACCACTTTTCAGACAAAATAGTTTCATATGAAGAACATCAAAAAAGATTCAGTGCCCTCAGAAACAAAGATGCTACTATACAAGACAGAACCATCTTAATATTTCCTGTTCTAAATCCTCACTATTTTAAGCAATTGCAGTTTTGCGCCAGACATGACAAGGTTGTCCCCTGAACTTGGACAGCTCACCAGAAATATCCCAAACTCGCACAGTCTGGTCCAAACTGGCTGATACAACCAGGTCTTCAGAGGGGTGGAACTGAGCACACATCACGTAATGATTGTGCCCTGTTAACACACTGTAAGAAAAAAAAATACTAAATTAGAGGTGAGAATCAGTAGACTTTAAGCTAAATTATACTTTCATAGAGACAATGGTAAATAGATCAGTTAACAATTTTCAAAAATAAGCAAGACCACTTATTTTATTTTTTTGCTTTTGGTGCCAAGGACCAAACCCAGGGCTTCCAGCTTGCTAGGCAAGCATTCTACCACTCAGCCAAATCCCCACTCCCAAGACCACTTATTTTAACAATAACTTAAAAAAGCTCTAATGCTTTAGTATTTAAGTATTACTAATTTTAGGAGAAATGAAATTACATAGCTCTCTAAAGAAATATAAAAATGAGGCACACATGCCTATAAGTGCAGCACCTGGGAGGCTGAGGCAGGAGGATCACTGCAAGCTCAAGGCCAGCCTGGGCTACATAGTGAGTTCAAGGCCAGTCTTACATAGTGAGACCCTGACTCAAAAACCCAAAAACAAGTAAATATCAATAGGGAAAAAAAAAAGAATTTTAGCAATTTATACTAGAAATATCTGATAAGTCTGATAGGTCATTTTAAATGGTCTTTATCCCTTCATAAAAAGCTCGATAAGAGGCCGGGGAGATATCTCAGTAGAATAAGCACTTGCCTGGCAAGTTCAGGGTCCTGAGTTCAAACCCCGGTGCCGCAAAAAAAAAAAAAAAAAGCTCTACAAGAGCTCCAGACCCAAATACAAAGTAAGACTCACTGTTGACTGTAAGATTTTGTGGAACAGAACGCAAAAGCAAATATAAGTTTTTGAGATATATATTCTTGTTCTAAAAGATTAGCTATGTGACTTCTTTTAGACCTGTGCATTACTAAGAAGACCATGCACTTGGAAGTAAGATGATTATTCTGAAGGGAAGCTGACTGCGAAAACACATGGAGAGGGGCTGGAGAGATGGCTCAGTGGTCTAAAGCACCTACTTGAAACAAGCTTGGCAAAGCACAGGGACCGCGGTTCGATCCCCCAGCACCACATGCCAGCCAGCCCCGCCCCCTGGTGGGCTGAGCTGGCCACGCACACACACACAATAAATAAATGTAATAAATAAAAATAAATAAATAATTTAAAAAAAGAAAACACATGGAGAATTAAGACTCTTTCTGAGGCATCTGCCTCCTGCTTTACCAGACACAGGTTCTAGACTGCCAGTTCCACACTCGAATGGTTTGATCATCTGAGGCACTCAGAATCCAAGGATACTCCTGAAAGATATTTCAGATAAAGACTCTGAGCATTAAACAAACTAGTTTCACCAAACGCCTGTAACTATTTTTCTTTTGGGTGCACATTTTTGCCTTCAACTTCCACTTTATTAGCAAAAAGGTCGCTACTTCTCCTACTAGGCTAGTTGCCATCTCCTCCCACCACTCAGCCAGCTTTGTCCAACTTAGCTCCTCTCAGCCATATGACGTGAGAGCAAACATCAGACAGGACAGATATCAGAGGCACAGAGTCATACACATTTAAATTTACTCTCATAGATGGCTCAGTGGTCTAAAGCACCTACTTGAAACAAGCTTGGCAAAGCCCAGGGACCTCGGTTCGATCCCCCAGCACCACATGCCAGCCAGCTCCGCCCCCTGGTGGGCTGAGCTGGCCACACACACACAGACACAATAAATAAATGTAATAAAAATAAATAAATATTTAAAAAAATAAATAAATAAATAAATTTACTCTCATATACTTACGTGTGCATACTTATACTGTGGTGCTGTGGTCTCAGAACATACAATGAGTAACAAAAATGACATGTGCCAGCCTGTTTGTGCTGGAAAGGGCAGAGTCAAAAAGCAATCAACACTGGTTAACATCTAGCCTGCATGTTTGGTACCAAAGAGGCAAAGAGATACTGAGGCAAATTTTTATTAAAGTGTACTAAATACCAAATTTGAAAAATGTCAAAGAAGTCAAGTACCAAAACATATAACTGTATTTATATGTAATCTTACAAACTAAGATCCAGTGAAAGGCTCTTTTAACTCTAGGACCGCGTATGACACACGTGTTACCTGTTTTTAAGACAAAACATGCTAATACACGAATTGTTTTTGAGAAGGATTTTTTTTGGCTGGCTCAGGTTGCCTTAAGGGCGGGTCTGGTAAGGCATAGGGAGCTGGGGATTGAACCACGGTCCCCTGCACCTGCATGGGTTTGCCCCAATAGGCATTTAAATGACTGAGCTAACCCGCAAGCCACCTACACGAGTTGTTTTTTCTCACGTATTTCTCAGTATTTCATTGAAGTGCTGGCACTTTGCAGTAAGTGGGTTAAATAAATTCTTTTTTTTTAAATTTAATTTAATTTTATTTTTATTTGTGTGTGTGTGTGGCCAGCTCAGCCCACCAGGGGGCGTGTCTGGCTGGCATGTGGTGCTGGGGATCGAACCGCGGTCCCTGTGCTTTGCCAAGCTTGTTTCAAGTAGGTGCTTTAGACCACTGAGCCATCTCTCCAGCCCCGTCTAAGTAGGTTCTTTAGACCACTGAGCCATCTCTCCAGCCCCAATAAATTCTTATTGAACACTAGTTATTCTCAAATATTTCAGTTGTAATTTTCTCATTCTCCCCAACCTTAAAATGTTTTAATTTTATAAAGGAAATAAAGTATTACTCAATCAGTAAATATTTGTTTATTTTATAATATTCTAACTTAATTCAAGAGACTTCGTTTACAGAGAACCACAGAATAGAATGAGTTAAAAATTTTTTTTTTTTAATTTTAACTTTTTTTTTCTGGTGGAATCAGGGATTAAACTCAGGCCCTTGCGCTTGCCAGGGAAGCACTTATTCTACTGAGCCATCTCCCCAGCCCAAAATGAGTTAATTTCAATGGCACAGAATTATAGAAAGTTCTAGCCAGGTTGGAAGTTGATTCAGATGTTAGAAGTCTATAATCTGTAACTCAATGTCTAAGTCTACTATGATACCTAAGAGAGCAAAGAAGACAGTAAACCTTGCTAAGGGAACAGGCTCCATAAGACCCCAAAACCTTAGGGTAGAGGTGTCTATTAGCTCACCCAAACAGCATTTTAGCTTGACCTTCCTCTAGACATACCTACCATTTACCAGTAACACTTTACAAGGGACTAGCCTATAAACATTTGCTGGCACAGCACTGAAATAAAATCTGCTTTTCTTGATAGAGAAACAATAGAGCTCACTGAATCCACTTAAATTAAATTGAGTACAGTATAGCCCTGAGTTCTTCCTTTTATAGAAGAAAGCAGAAAAGCCAACAGCCCCACATCCTAGAAAAGCCACATCAATAACATAATCTGTTAACAAAGCATAAGTTCTTGAGAGCAAGCAGATTACTAAGAGGAAACCGAAGCATGCATCAGAACTAGTGCCACTGTGGCTACTCACATGATGAAAAAATGTAGTGCGGATATAATCCAAGTGACCAAGCAAGGTGAAAAGACAGCGCCTAAGTTTGTAATTCCAAACCTGAAAAGACAAATCCAAATAAAGCATAGCATAAAAAGGTTCTGAGCTTCTAAAAGGCTCAGGTTTCTCAATGAACAAGATTAGATCAATATTTTGGCATTTCTAAACAGGTAGGAACCATGATAGGGAGTCTCCTTAAGCCCTGGGAGGAAATAAAAGGATGAAAATATAGGTCAGCTAAACAAAGTGGGGGTCAGGAGGTGATGGGGATAAGTTAGGGAAAAGCTAAAGATAAAACAATGGGAAGTGGAACTGGAGATACAGCTCTGTGGTACAGTGCTTGTCTAGCTTTTCTGAGGTCCTCAGCACTGCAAAAATAAACAGATGAACAAATTGTAGAAAGGTGTCTCTTTCTCTACAGAGATTTTTTTGTTTGTTTGTTTTTGACACAAGGCTTTGCTATGGTGCCCAACCGGCCTCAACACCTGAGGCTGAGCAATCCTCCTGCCTCAGTATCTCTAGTAGCTGGGACTACAGGAATACGCCACTGCTCCTGGCCTGAGAAATCATTTTAATAACAGAAGACAAGACATTTACCAATTACTCAGTTAACTTGTGTTCTCAGTTTAAATACAAATACCAGTACTGTACTTTATCTATTACCTTAGTAAGTAGAATAGATCCAAGCCTCCAAAGAGACATTACCATGGCATTATGGTAACTCCTAACTCCTAATTTGGTGGCAAACGATGCCCATATATTTGTGGTTTGTGCTTATTTTTCTGCAAAGAGACTTGAACTCATTACTATGAAAAATACTACACTGCTTAGGCTAAAATAAGCAGAGAAACAATAATATCCAGATATAAAGTTGAGTTAAATGCTAATGTTTCTGACATCAATGAACACAAGACACTAAAGCTAGGATCACAAATGTTAAGACAACTCATCTTTCTCATCCAGAAAATGCCACAAATCAACAAAAATGAGACATCAGATGCTTTCTTTTTCTAACTTCAATTTTTTAAAAATGCCACTCGATATTTTAAAATTTTATCTGGGCCAACTTGTTATTACTTCATTATCCTAATCTTTTTTTGAAAAAAAATTTTTTTGGTAAGTGACCAAAAATATGTTTTGTCTGTCTGTCTGTCTGTCTCTCCTCCTCCTTCCTCCCTTCCTCTCATTTATTCAGACATGATCTCACTCTGTAGCCCAGGCTGATACTCACGAGCTCACAATCCTGCCTCAGCCACTAGAGTGGTGGGATTTCAGGTATGTGCTACTCTATGTACATAAAAGTAGTATAATTTCTTATAACAAATTCAGACAATTCAAAAGTGGAACCTTCCAAATGAGGTAAGATCCTTGAAGGCAAGGATCTATCACATGACATAGCACTCTGGCACTTAATTTGGTAGCTGGCACTTGGCAATTATTCTGTACCTATAAAAGTAAAAAATCATAAATAACATTAAAAAATGAAGGTACTTGATGATTATCTTCATCTTTGTCTATATATAAACATGTACATAGTAAAGTTTCACTAAAAAAAAACCAGATCATACCATAAGTACTACTCTTTAACTGAGTCGCTCTTTGTGGAGTTCAGGGTTTTTGGTTTTGCTTTGTTTTTTGAGGGTGGGAGTATGGGCAGGAGACAGGGTTTTGCTTTGTGGTTCAGGCTGACCTGGAACTCACTACATAGCCCAGGCTGGCCTCAAACTCACAGCAATCCTCTTGCCTCAGTCTTGCATGTGCTGGGATTATAGGCAGGTCCCACCATACCTGGCAGGAGTCCAGTGTTTTAAACTTTTACCTTTTTAGCTTTAGCTTGTCCTGACTCCTTTAATGTCTTTAAAGCCTTAAAGTAGGTTTTTTTTTTTTTTTTAGTTCTTTTTTTTTTTTTCTTTATTTTCTTTGTTTATTTATTTATTTTATTTAGTGTGTGTGGCCAGCTCAGCCCACCAGGGGGCGGGGCTGGCTGGCATGTGGTGCTGGGGGATTGAACCGCGGCCCCTGTGCTTTGCTTAGCTTAGCTTGTTCTAAGTAGGTGCTTTAGACCACTGAGCCATCTCACCAGCCCCTTAAAGTATTTTAGATAATGCTGTGGTCATTGCTAAGCTTTCTGTCCTGTTCTTTGTACATGACGATTATATTAATGCTATCTTTATCTGAATAAAGCGAGCAATATTATGATCTATACACATGATTTTTCATGATAATTCTTTTTCATGAAGTTTTCAACTGTATTAGTCATCAGAAAAATATAAAATAGGGCTGGCCAAATAGCTCAGTGGATTAAAGCGCCTGTGTTCCCTGGGCCTGCTATGCCAGCCCCATCCCCAGGGCGTGGTGAGACATGGTGTGCACCTATAATCCCAGCTTTTGGGAGGCTGTAAACAGGCGAATCACTACAAGTCTGATCTAGTAGTGAGACCCTGAATACCCTGTAGACCCTTTCCTAAAATACCCCCCCCCAAAAAAAAGAAAAAAAGAAAAAGCAATGGCCCATAAATAAAACCAGCTAACTAATAGAGAATTCCCAATTGCAATAAATTTTATTGGAATACAACACAAATTTCCCAGAATTTACTAGTTAGGTACAGAATTCAATGGGTTTCTATATATTCACAGTTCTGCGACCATCACCACAATCAAGTTTTGAATATGTTTCTTCCTCTAAAAAGAAACCCATACGTATTAGCACCTCACTCTAGTAATTGTGCTCTTCCAACTAAACAACCACTGATCTACTTATATCTGTGAAGTTATACTCATCTTAGGACATTTCACATAAATGGAAAACAAGTTTTTTAAAAAATATTAATCATTTGTCTCTGCCTCTCTGCAGTCCTGGGTGCTGGGCCAAGGCTCTTGTGTACGTGAGGCAGGTGCTCTACACTGAGCTGTCTTAGCGGCCTTTGAGACCTACATAGTGGCTTGAGCTTCCACTAACTGCCTCCAGGAGGTAGTGCTTCAAAGCTAAAAACAGAAAGAACATAGCTCCATACTATTCTAATACCACTTTTCTTCATGGGCAGCAGCCCTATAATCTATAATACATAATTTCCAGAAGTAGTTAATGAAAAGCCCTGTACATTTTTTATGAAATAAATTTAACAGGCCTGGTTGGACCTGGAGATTTAATGAAAACAAATTGTAGAAGTAAATAAAGCAAATGCTGACTTATTTTTGTTTTTACAGGTTCAAAGTTGCTGCTCTAACTCTTTTCTTTATCACAGTCAATCTTCAAAGAACTGCCAACGTGGGGCCAGGGAGATAGCTCAACAGAAAAAGCGCTTGCCTGGCAAACACAATGACCTGAGTTCTGTCCCGGTTCCGCCAAAAAACAAAAAACAAAAAAAAAACAAAGAACTGCCAATGTTCTATCTGCTTGCTCACCTAACACTATGCAAAGGTGCTACGATCACAAATGCTCTAACTTGCTAATCTAAAGGTTACTCCTCAGGCTGGATCTTACAAGGTCCACTTTCTCTTTACCCAAATTTTCTCTACTTTGACATCAGAGAGACTTCGGCTTCTCCTTGGTTCATCTCCCAAAATCTCAATCATTCTACCCACTCTACCTCCCCCTTCTCTTAAATGCTGATTTATCTTCTTACTTAAATTACTCCCCGAGAAGTATCTTCTGCCACTTCTTTGGCTCTCTCCTCCATAAGAACTTTCGAAAATATATCTAGGACAATCATACCTCTACTTGACTGTCCTTTAGGCACCTCAAATTCATCACCACAAGCATGGACCTCATTATTCATTCTCACTTCAGAAAATGGTAGCTCTCCTTGATTCTCCTTTCCTAGTTAATGATATCCTTGCTAACAATGACCTAAACTAGAGCTGAAGATATGGCTCAGGGGCCGAGGATGTAGCTCAGTCGCATAAGTGCCTGCCTGTCAAGCATGAGGTCCTGAGTTCGAACCCTGATATTTAAAAAAAAAAAAGACCTAAACTAAAAATCTAAGTCATCTCATTTGTTTCCCCTTATTGTTACTCTAATCTCCACCTAACAGAACTGCACCACTATGCCTGTAACCCCAGGATTCAGGAGGCTGAGGCAGGAGGATTGCCATGAGTTTGAGGACAACTGTGGCTAAATAGTGTAGTCTAGGCCAGCCTGAACTACACAGAAAGTCCTTGTCTCAAAAAAATAAACCAGAGAAAGAGAATTACTTCATTTTCTTAGGCTCTTCAATCTCTCCCCATTTTGAATGCTATTGTGTGTAAGTTTAGGTTTTATTCATCTGTTACAATGGATTTATATGGTAGTCCCCTATGTGGATATACAGCTCAAATCTAGCCTAAACCACCCAGTTTTTCCTTTATAGGAGTACCTAACCCTAAAAAAAAAAAAAAAAAGTAAATCTGATTCCGATAATCCTCCTATATTTAATACTTTGTATACCCACTTTGACACAGGGCCTTATGTAGTCCAGGCTGGCCTTGAACTTACCATGTAACCCAGACTGGCCTCAAACTCAGAATCCCTCTGCCTCAGTTCCCATGTGCTAGAATTACAAGGCACCTTACCCAGCTTATTGAATCCCTTTTAACGACCCCATACCTGCTGGTAACATGAGAATCCCTGGTATGATCAGATACCCTCTCATTTTTTGCCCCTTCTCTCATCTTTGTGTTCTTATAAAACTAGAGTTTCTCAAATGTATCTAGCTGTGTCATGCCTATCTCTACAGCTGGACTATTCTTTTTATTTTGATTTTTGTAACTATCATATCACTCACCAAATAATAGCATATGCTATTATCTGAGTACATGTTTATCTCTATTGGAATAAAAGTTGAGAACAAAATCCATTTCTTATTTTTGAATTTCCAAAAAAGAATCTGGTACACAGATTCCTTCAATAAATGTTTGCTCATACATGCTCTGGATGTTAAAATTCTAATTCTCTGTGAATGATCACTCTTTCAATCCCTTAAAGAATTCCCACATCTTCCCACATCGTTCTGTCTGTTATCCCCTGTGACAACAGACCCTCTTACCTTAATCTTATAGTCATCTCCTCCAGAGACAAATAGAGGCTGCTGCTTATGGAAGTCAATGCCTCGCACTGGTCCTGGGGAAAAAGGCAGATGAGGTACATGAGAGACAGCTAATCTTTCAAATCTTTATTTTTTTTTTTAATTTTTATTTATTTATTTATTTAGTGTGTGTGTGTGTGTGTGTGTGTGTGTGTGGCCAGCTCAGCCCACCAGGGGCAGCCCTGGCTGGCATGTGATGCTGGGGGATTGAACCGAGGTCCCTTTGCTTTGCTAAGCTCGTTTTAAGTAGGTGCTTTAGACCACTGAGCCATCTCACCAGCCCCTAATCTTTCAAATCTTTAGGCATGGATGGCAAATCTTTTAGAGATCAAGTGCCCAAACTGCAACCCAAAGCCCACTTATTTAGCATAAAGTGCCAACACTGCAATTAAACCTGAATGTCTCATGCTCGGCTGCAGGAGTGACTTGGCTCACATGGTGACAGGCAGGGTGCTATATGCCCACTGTGGCACATGTGCCATAGGTTTACTATCAAATGCTCTTAAGGTGGCTGCTATTCAAGATTTTTCAGTTCTCTCCCCTAGCACTGGAGATTTTTTTCTCCATTCATTTCTTTGTTTTTGAGAGATAGGGTCTCACTGTTTTGCCCAAGTTGGTTTCAAATCCCAGGGTTTAGGGCTGGCGAGATAGCTCAGTGGACTAAGCACCTGCTTAGGCAAGAGCAGGGACAGCGGTTCAATCTCTGGTACCACATGCTAGGCTGGCCCTGGCCCAGGCCCCATACCAGGTGTACTGAGCTAGCCATTGAGACCAGGTATGGTGGCACACACCTGTAATCCCAGCGTTGGAGAGGTTGAAAATGGGATTGGGCCAGGGAGATAGCTCAGAAGAATAAGCGCTTCCCTGGCAAGTGCAAGGGCCTGAGTTCAATCCCCGGTTCCACAAACAAACAAAAAAAAAGAAAATGGGAGGATCGCTATGAGTCCATGCTGTGTAGTGAGACCCTATACCAAATACATTTAAAAAAAAAAAAAGCTCCTAGGGCTTAAATGACCAATCTATCACAGCCTCTCAAGTTCTAGGACCGTAGTTATGCACTACCACATCTGGCTTCCCTTTTCCAATTTTTTTTTTTTAAGTATCTGTGATACATACTATATTTATCTTGAGAAAATGGTATGCGTACACAGCACATTTCTCTTTTAAATTCATTAATCCTATAGGAATCCATATCAAATCAGCTTTAAGCTATCCTCGAAAAGAGACTTACATCCCTTTTAACTTCCTCCTAGAAACTATCTTACCATCATGTTCATCAAACTTGTCGATGAGAGTGCACATCCGATAGTCCCATAGCTGGATGACCCCATTGTGTAAACTGGTTAGGATCCAGGGTCGTTTGGGGTGAAAACTGAGTCCTGTGGGGCAGGAGGAATAGAAAATTATATGATGAGCTAGCAAGACCCAGAATGTCACCTTCTATCAATCCCCGGTTCCACAAAAAGAAAAAGAAAAAAAAAAAAAGAATGTCACCTTCTGTCAATTCTGATAAGAACAAGGACCACCCACATTACTCATAGGTTCATTCATTCAGTCACTGCACTTGATTTTTTTTTTTTTTTTTTTTTTTTTTTGGTGGTACCAGGGATTGAACTCAGGACCTTGCACTTGCCAGGCAAGCACTTATTCTATTGAGCCATCTCCCCAGGCCTGCCCTTGATTATTTTATTGGATGCCAGACATTGTAATTTTATGTTGTTAGGTGCTAGATTTTTTAACATTATCATTAAGATTTTGAGAATCATTAACAATATGAACAATAAATGTAACTGATAACAATAAAAACTAAATGAGCTGAATTTGCTTTATTGTTGCAACATGTTTTCTCTTTATTAGTGCAGTACATCTTTACATTCGTTGTGCACAGTTGATACATGAACATAACACATTTAGCTCCTGTCACCCCCTGTGCCTCCCTTCCTCCCTCCAGCTCTTGATCCCCTTTCCCTTTCAGAAAGACATATCTCCCTACTTCCTCCTATCTATCTTTGACTTTGCTCTTTGTCTTTTGGGTTTCACATGTAAGAGAAACCAAGCGATACTTAAGCTTGTGTATCTGATTTATTTCACTTAACATTCTGGCCTCAAGGTGCATCCATTTCCCCACAAGTGATTCAAGGTTTTCTCTTTTTTTTGTGTGCAGAACCAGGGATTGGACTCAGGACCCTGTGCTTGCCAGGCAAGCACTTGTTCTACTGAGCTATCTCCCTGGCCCAATTCTATTTATTTACTTTTTTTTTTTTTTTGGCGGAACCAGGGATTAAACTCAGGTCCTTGTGTTTGCCAGGGACGAGCTTATTCTACTAAGCCATCTCCCCAGCCCAAGGTTTTCTTTATGGCGGAGTAGTACTTCACTGTGCATAAATACCAGATTTTTTTTTTTTTAATTCATTCATCTGTTGATAGACTTTAGGCTGCTTCCAAGATTGAGCCATTATGAATTGTGCTACTATAAGCATGGGCATGCAAGTATCACTGCAATAGTGTAGTATGCCTTTAAATATTTAGGGCAGATACCTAGAAGGGGAACAAATGGAATTTAGGTGCTGGACCTTTTTTTTTTGGCAGAACTGGGGATTGAACTCAGGCCCTTGCGCTTGCCAGAGAAGCACTTATTCCACTGAACCATCTCCCTGGCCCCTTATTTATTTATTTAGGTGCTGGACTTTTGTATGTTCCTTCAAATACTGTTGGGCTTTTTTAGGGTGACGTTATTTAGAATCAGTTGATCACTTTGAGGCTTGCTTTTTAAGTTTTGTTATAATAGGCCCCCAGCAGCTTTTAGTCTAGGTCAGGGATGGTAAACCTAGAGCTTTCAATGATTAAATAGCCCACTGTGGCATGCAAATTAGTCTAGGTCTAATTTGGAAATACTACTAATCCCCTGAGATCCCATATATGTCTTGAGTATTAGGAAGTCTTTCCATTCTTCCTAGTAAGAATACAACCTATTTTCAGAGCTTTGTGGGTCCAGGTATTGTTCACCTTTCTCTTTTTCCATGGTTCTTTTCTAAGTTTTGGATAGTTTTCGCACATGCATAGGTGAACTGGTACTCAGACAAAGTATGAGGTAACCCCTGCCAGATCCGCAGGGCTCTCTGTTGACTACCCTCCTCTCTGATATCTTACATAGCAAATTTTAACCAAGGTCCCCTGCATCTGCCTAAGCTTGGCTAAGTAGGTGCTTTAGAATGCTGAGCTATCTCACTGGCCCCTACGTAGCAAATTTTAGTCCTCCTTGCTTTCCCAAACTCTAAACTCTCCTCAGCTAGTCCATAGGGCTCTTCCTGTTCATTCACTGCAGTCTGGACACTCTCTCTAGGCAGTAAGCTAAAACAATTATTCCCCTCTCTCTCAAATTAATTCCTGCCCTGCCTGTTGGCCAATCTCTGTTCTGTACATTTTATTCAGCTGTGCAGCCTTTAATGCAGAAAGGTAAATTCAGTTCGCGTTAGTCCACTATGACCATACACAGAAGCTGCCACAGGTAACTGCTAAAATTGCATCCCATAAGAAGTTATTGGGCCTGGGGAGATAGCTTAGTAGAATAAGTGCTTGCCTGGCAAGCGCAGGGGCCTGAGTTTAATCCCCAATTCTGCAAAAAAAAAAAAAGGTTATTAGGAGAGGGCCTGCCAAATAGCTCAGTGGATTAAAGCACCTGCAAGCAGGCACAGGCACAAGGGCGAGGAGTAGAGGGGGTAGGGGATGAGGGGGGGGTTCCATCCCCAGGCCTGCTGTGCTGGCTTCGCCCCCAGGGTGCACCGAGATGGCAACTGAGATTGGTTGTGGTGGTGCACACCTGTAATTCCAGCTTCTGGGAAGTTATAAACAGGCAGATCTCTATGAGTCTGATCTATTACTGAGATCCTGAACACCTTGTAGACCCTTCCCTGAAATACCAAAAAAAAAAAAAAAAAAAGTTATTAGGAGAGAACTCAAGGATAATAAAGGCTAGAAATCCTTAATGGTACTTTTATTTTTGTATTTTAGGGCAAGGTCTAGAGGCTCTCATGGTATAAAGTGGACCCGTAGTGATCCTCCTGTTTGCAGCTTCTGAAGTGCTGGGATTATAGGCCTGCACCACTATGCCCAGTCTCAATTGCCATCTCAGCGTGCCCCGGGGGAGGGCCGGCACAGCAGGCCTGGGGATTGAACTCCCAGCCCTTGCATTTGCCTAGTAGGCACTTTAATTTGGCCGGCCCTAATGGTGCTCTTTACAACCAAGATTCCCATGAAATTTAGAAACTGCTCAGGACATATTCTCACAATGTCTTTCAGTTTTTAAGTTAGTGAATCCAGCCACGCTCGGTAATACAATTTCCATATACTTTCTCATTTTACTTCTCTCTGTAAGAGGATACTAACTGCCCTTATTTTACAGATCTGGAGATATTTATTTAGTAGAATTTTAGGATTCCAAAGCAAGCCCTCCTGACTCCAAAGAACAAGTTCTTAATGACTATGGTGCATCTTACTAAACATTCCACATGTTTTTCCACTTGTTATTGGACTTTCTCTACTTTTTTTCATTTATTTATTTATTTGAGGTACTGGAGATTGCACTTGGGACCTTGCACTTACCAGGCATAGCTTATGCAGCAGAGCTATCTCCTCAGCCCTGGTTTTTTTTCATTTTGACAAGAAACTACTGCAACCTCAGCCAGTTGCCCTCCAAAACAAATTACTAAAATTTATTCACTATTTACCTGAAACTCAAAGCAAACTTGGTATTCTGCATTTTACCTGGCAACTCCATCAATCTCAGACTTGGGGAGAAAGGCTTCAGGGCACTATTTCCGATGGGGAATAAGGTTCACGGAATGTCGAGAGGGTGGAAGCAGGCCTCTTCCCATTAAGCACTAGTACATTCTCCGCGAAACGCTACAATGATTGAGGCCAAGACTCAATGCTCAGGGTTTCCCCATATAACACGATCGCCAAAAGGCCACAGGGCTTTGGGAAGAGAATAGTGAAAGGCGCACAGCCCCTGAGAGTGTAAGGGCAGAGGAACAAGGGAGCGGGCCTACGGGGTCTCCGACGGCGCAGGAACCCCTTTAGACGTAAAGCAAAGCCCCAGCGCACGCAAACAAGAGAGGACTGCAAGGCTGCCCCGGGCCTAATCTCGCAGCGTCCACCTTCGGGTCCATCGGGTGGGCCCAGTTAGACCCGCAAGTCCACCAGCTCCTTCCCGGTGACCGCCCCGCCCCTCACATGCAGCCTCCAAGTCACCCCCTTTCTTTTCCACTACCTTTGACCCGCGCGCTCTTGGTCTCGAATTTAGTTAACATCTTCAAGACTACGGCTCCGAAGGCGGACAGCCGGGTCCGCCACTCCCTGCCACCCTTTGGACGCCTCCACGTCAGCCACCCCGGGCCACAGCTCCCGGAAGCGCCGCCACCTAGGAACTTCCGGTCTCTGGAGCTCCGCGCCACCGAGACGGCGGCAGGGGGAGCCTAGAGAGGCCGCTAGCCGACTGGAGCGGGGACCGAGGCTTCCGCTCGGCGGAGAGGCAAGATGGCCACGGCTGGGGGCGGCTCTGAGGCTGACCCGGGAAGTCGGGGTCTTCTTCGCCTTCTGTCGTTCTGCGTTCTCCTGGCAGGTGAGGCCTCCCCGCCCGTGAGCTCTGCTCTGTAAGGGGAACCCTCCGGATCTGCCCAGCCGCAAGCGCCAGTGTTTCCCTCCGGGTCCTCGCTGCCCCTCTGTCCCCCACCCTGTAAATCCTCTTTCCCTTTCGTTCCTGTGACAGAAGTTCCCCCTCTCCCTGGACCTTCATCCCTTCTTCTCGGCAAGTCGTGTCACTTTATTCCATCCTCCAGGCCTCCTCCTGGATTTCCAGCCTGATTCTCACCCACTTTGTTGGGATGCCTTATTTTCCATAGAGCCCCAGCCTCTCCACCCACAGTGAAAAGGGACAGGTGTGAAACTTCAGCGTTCTTCCCCGGGTTTAGACTTTTTGAGGACAAAACAGCCTTGTTCTGTAGGTGCTATGCGGCGCATGAAAGAATTCTCGTTCCTTCCTGTGTTGATTCCATAAATTCGTGTCTCTGTCTTTCATAAATAAAGTGAAACTAAGGTAGGTATGTGTGGGTATTCTTAAGTAATGATTCAAGGATCCTGAGGCTTTTATAATGTGCATAGGTGTCCTTACACACATTTATTTTCTGGTGTGTGATTTTATAGTTGGTTGAACACAAAGGTGTGACCATGACTGGGCTGGCCCTTAAACTCACTTTGTTTTTAAAGATCCCCAAGTAAGATTCTAGCTGTCCCACACTATGGTATGCACAAATGATCTGCTGCTGTTAGATGAACTAAACAGGTGTGTGGCATAAGGTTTCCCCCAGTTCTCCTCAGACTTTTGTGAAAAGTCTCAGAAATGTTTTTTATTTTTGCTAATCTATATTCTTAGACCAGTGGTATTTTCTCAACAGATTAGTATTATATGTACAGGATGGAAGAGTAGATGTAACCAGAATTTGGCACATCTAAGGTCAAACACCTTTATGTTGACAAATCAAGTTTTTTATCTTAGCTTCACTGTCATTTGTTGTTCATGGAATCTTCTGAGTCATATACTTGGGTGCTTTGTAGAGCATTTATCTGTTCCAATAATATGTCCAAGAAATGGAAAGAATGAACATTTCCCATTTTAGGAAATATGATATTGAATGATTTACTCAAGCTGTGAATAAATCCAGTGACATTAAAGAGGCAAGATATCAGTGTCTTTTGGTTTCTACTAACAGTTTTTATTTTCTGATTAGGTTTGTGCGAGGGAAACTCTGTGGAGCGAAAGATCTACATCCCTTTAAATAAAACAGCTCCCTGTGTTCGTCTGCTTAATGCCACCCATCAGATTGGCTGCCAGTGTGAGTTGAAATTATAATTTGTATTTGTGGCCATTGATATTTCAGTTTATGCCCTAGATTCTAAGAAGGATCCATGCCCTGCTTAGGCACCTTGGGCTTAAATTAGTCTATGTGAGTAGGAGGTGATAGAGAACCATCTGTCAAACCAGCAAGCTAATTAATAAGAGCTAACATTTAGTAAATTCTCCATGCTAATTTTTATCAACATGCATTTCATGTAACCTCCTCAGTGCCCATAGTTATTTCCATTTTACAAATGATGAGACAGAGACTTAGGTTGAATAACTTACCAACATCATGTTGGTAATAAGTTATGATGCTAGGATCTGAACTCTGGTCATTTGTGTTCTAAGCCAAGATTTTTCATGAGAAGTCCCATGTTCTATGGAGTCCATTCCTAGCTCTCAATATCTTTTGGGAACCAAAATGGGCTTCTTAAAGTTGACTAACTAGTTGGCAAGACTAGTCCGAAATAGTTGTGAGAATTAGTGAAGAATTATGTTTTTTAAATGTGTTTCAGCATGAAGAGTGCCAGAACACCATGGTCATAAAAGTCACAGAGGGAAAAAGTTGAATCAGTTTATTTGCCTTAGTTATCTCCAAGTATCTGGTCTTCTCTGGACACCGACTTTGTCAGAATATAGTTTTGCAAGTAAACAGGAAAGTTGGGGTCTGATCTTGGCTTCATCACTGACTGATCACCTCTGAATTTCAGTTTAATCTAGTTCACGTGGTTGGAATAGTTTTGCACAAAACTGAAAGACTGTCTTATAATGGTCCTGTATTGGTGACGTTGAATACATAGCTTGGTCTCAGCAACGTAATGTATGGTTGCCCAAAACCTTTCAATTTGGTAAACATAAACTGAGTTATTGGAAAGTAAGAGACTTGCTCAGGGAGGTACTTAATACTTTTTCTACCTGTTTTTCCAGAAGCTATACTATATATTAATTGCCTTATATTCCTTCGATAGGGAGCACTGGGAATGCGTTGATTGGTTCCAACAAGTGATAAATACTGCTTTTGTTTTGGTAGACATAGTTTCTTGGAGATGAAAAAGTCAGGTCCAGAGCAGGCTGCGGTGAGGCTGCTGGACGTGCCGGAACTTTACTGTAACTGCAAAAGGCCAGGCTGAAGCTGGGCTCTGAAAAATACTCTTTGGAAATGAGTCATTCTGTTGCATGTTCTTCAAGTGGCCCTGTGGGAGGCAAAGCAGTAGCCTCTAGAGATGAGGCCAAGTGCCAGTACAGAGAAATGAGGGGAGGAGCTGGACTCTGGCCACTTCCTCATTAAGAGCTTGTTTCCTTTTCAACCTACTTATTTCTACATCTTCATCTTATCTGCCCATTCTTAGCATATTACACCCTCTTTAATTGGAGTTGCTAGCATTAATAAAACTAAGGAGAAGAAAGACATCCAGATTTGATTTTTTTTTATTATAATCACCCGTTACTATTAGGTCCTTAAAATGCTCAAAGAAAGGTGTATATTGAAGTTCCTTCTTTTTCCCTATTTCCCTTCTTCTTTTCTATCCCAAGTATATGAAGCAAGCTGCCCCTCACAGAAGGTCCAGAGAAAGTAAGCAAGTTACTGAAGACTACGTAGTCACCCATTACCTAGATTAGAGTCTGTGTTCCTTCAGCTACTACCATAGCTTTTCTTCTTCCTGTCCTTCCTAAAGCCTAAATGATACCCTTTTTTATTTGCCACACCAGCTTTTTCTTTTCTCCTGTTTGAAACACTATGGCAAGGACTGCTGTGAGAACTTCCATTGATGACTGGATCTTAACTAAAGCTTTTCCAGATTCTGCTATTCCTCCCTATTTTGTTATCACCATTGACATGACCTTGTGACATGAGCCCTGCCTTCATGTCTAGATTTTATCAGATCCCATGGAAGAAAAATTTTGCTTAGCTGGAAATTAGGAACCAGTTTTTGTCTCTTGCTTGTCATAAATATTTTGGTGTCTTGGTCTAGAAGCATAGTTCTCCTGCCTGGCTTTGTATAATGAAGAATTACTTGTGGCTAGGCATGGTGATACATGCCTATAATCCAGATACTTGGGAGGCTGAAGCAGGAGGATCACAGGTTCAGGTCCATCCTGGATAATATAGTCAGACTTGGTCTCAAAAAGTGAAGAGAGGGGCTGGGGAGATGGCTCAGTAGAATAAGCGCTTGCCTGGCAAGCACAAGGGCCTGAGTTCAATCCCCGGTTCTGCCAAAAAAAAAAAAAAAAAAAAAAGCGAAGAGGGTTAGGATTGTAACTCAGTGGTAGAGCACTGGCCTAGCATGTATGAAGCCTTGGGTGTAAGCACCAACACTTCCAAAAAAAACCACTGTATGTTGTATGTTTTGAAAAATACATATCCCTGAGCCCTGTCTTTTGTGATTTTAATTTAGGAGATCAGAGGTAATATCCAAACATCTATTTATTAAAATTCTATAGATTTCGGATGTGGATTATTGGTGGAATGCATGGATAGCATTGACAAGGTCCTGGCTTAAATCCCTAGTGCAAAAATAAAAACAAAAATGAAAAAACCTCCCAAGTGATTTTGATACGTAGTCAGAGGTGAGCCCTCCTGCTCTAAAATAATTTGTGAACATCATATCCAGTCTGTAGAGTACAGGAGGGGGACACTCTGGGATGTCTGTACATGGGGTTTAGAGATGTGAAGAATTTTGCCAAATGCCTCAGTAGGTGTAGTATTTGACATGGTTTGGACTATGGATCATCTGTCCTCTAGACCAGTGATTCTCAATCTTTGTCACATCATGAGATGCATAGAAATGTTATTTGTGGCTAGACATGGTGGTGCATGCTGGGAACCTCAGCACCTGAGAGGCTGAGGCAGTAGGATTGCCTTGAGTTTGAGGCCTGCCTGTGGTGCATAGTGAGTTCAAGGCCAGCCTGCACTGCATAGCAAGACCCTCTCTCTCAAAAAAAAAAAGGAAGAAAAGAAGATTATTTGTGTGGCATCTTGCATGTATAGAAATGGTTTTATTCATCGGGCATCCTAGGTAAATGATGGCTGCTCCTGGCTGCTCATGCCTAACTGAGGGACGTTGGAAACCTGAGCTCCCCAGGAAGTAGGACAATCTAACATTATCTCTCAGATCCATTCAAGGCCTATCAGCAGGGAATCTCTGTTCTTTAGGACTCAGAGTTCCAGATTAATCTCACCTAAAACTAGCCAGGAGCAGCTAAAGTCATTCCTAAATAGGACTGGTGTAGGAGTGGTGGTCTAGGACGGCTACTAAGGCCAAGAGAATCTACATGGTTTCATGAAGCTTCAAAGCCAGGTGTAGGGGCTGGTGAGATGGCTCAGTGGTCTAAAGCACCTACTTAGAACAAGCTTAGCAAAGCACATGGACCGCAGTTCAATCCCCCAGCACCACATGCCAGCCAGCCCCGCCCCCTGGTGGGCTGAGCTGGCCACACACACACACACACACACACACACACACAAATAAATAAAATAAATAAATTTAAAAAAAAAAAAAAGCCAGGTGTATAAGCTATAAATCTAGGGTGGCATTTCCTAGAGAAAGTACAGATTTGAAAACTTGATTCTACTCTAGGATCTTTGTGGGTCAATGACTGAACTGGGGAAAAAACATGAGGAGCACAGAGCTTTTCTGGCATTTAGCGCACAAGGCTACTGCTGAGTCTTCTTGGACTCTTGTCATCCTTTCCTTTATATGGAGCTAGAGCAATTCACCTTTGCAGTTTAGGACCAGAGGTGGCTATAGTCATCCGAATATATTGTGGCATCTTTAGGGA